CCATCAGGGTCGTGCTTGCAAACCTCGCGAGAATATCGCGCGCCGTCCGCTGGAGGAAGCTATTGACTACCGCTTAATTATCGGCCAACAAACACACGCCTGCTCCCACTGCGGCGCGCTATTTTGGATTGAGGAAAGAATTCGTTCGTCGTCGAAGATCAACCCTCGCTTCAACTGCTGCGCGGATGGTAGTATAGTTCTCCCTCCAACCCTTCCACCTCCGCAGGAGCTCTCCGATCTATTTACTGCTACCGAGATACGCACCGGTCGCCTATGCCGCACTGAAGAGAGCGAGAGGTTCCATCGCGCGATTCGCTACTATAATGACGCATTTTCCTTTTGTTCCATTGGCGTGCAAATTGACAGAGAACTCGCTCAGCAGCTGAGAGGTAGCTATACTTTCCGTGCGCATGGCGCCTTTTACCATCGCATTGGCGCGCTTCAGCCGGAGCACAAGCCTGCCGCATACGCGCAACTGTACATTTTCGATACTGAAGACGAGCAACTTACACACCACGGCATCGCTTTCTGAAATCTTGACCCTAATATTTCCCGCACGATCCAGCGCGTCCTGCATGAATCCCACCCGTTCGTCCAGGCATTTCAAAACAACACAGAACGCATCCGCACAGACAACTCGATCACGCTACGCCTTGGAATCGTCGAAGACGCAACAAAAGATCCGCGTGTCTACAATCGTCCAACTGCATCCGAGGTTGCTGCACTTATTCCTATCACTGGTGGTGGGGACGGTGCGCGCCATATTGTGCTTCAGAGATTCGGTGATGGCGCCAAGGAATTTCTCAATGAGCAGCGGCAGGAGTATCTCACCCTTCGATATCTTTTCCTCTATCCGCGCGGTGAACTTGGGAGGGCTAGCTGATGCCCACATTAAGATGACCCTGTGTATCACGTGACGTATGCTGCCTAAGGCATGAACAGCTCTCCAGTTGAAGAGAATCTACATGTATTTGCACTCTGGGACTATAGTAAAGTAATGGAAAGTCAGATCACACAGTGCAATTCACGCAGCATAGCTAGAAATCTCTTCAAATGTAGATAAGATAAGATTAACCAATTAAATAACAGATATTGCGCGATATCGCCTTAGCATCGCGCGATATCAACATTGATATCGCGCTTGGCAAATATTAGGACGATACGATATCGCCGCGATATCGCATCGACGATATCGCGATAGCAATATAGATATCGTTATAGCGCATCAATATAGGCAGGTATGCTTGAAGCACGATCCTAACACTCATAAGGGGCCACCCAGATCATCATAGACATTTCTAAGATCGAAAGAAGAGAATAATCTTTCACACTATTCACGGAGGTTTCCAGATAATTGAGAATGTTTCAAATGGCAGTAGTGCTTCTTTTGAAGATTAGAATTTCCTAATCATTCTTGCACCCACTAAGGAACTACTACCACTCTTGTTATGTAAAGGTCAAAGCCCTCAGTCAAATCAAAGAAACCTTCTCAACACTTCAGTAAGCAACCCTCCAGTTATTACACCCAACTCATTTTCCTTCCCACATCTCTTATTCCTGGCCGCTATGGGTGTCGTGCTCATGCTGCAGCATAAGTTCTTTCCTAATCTCCTTGTAGTCATGGCCCTTCATGCAATGCCCTTCGGCGAGGCATTTGTCACTTAGGATAAAGTAGACGCAAGAACTTGCTGGCCAGCCGTGGTAGGATTCCCTGTCACATGCTTCACCGTGGACTTTGAGCTATGACAGCATGAAAACAGCGATAGTTAGCCAATCTGCAATATCCAAGCAATGACTGAGGTTGTCTGAGCTTACGTGGCAGATCTTGACCTTCCTGCAGGTAGAGTCGCGGCACGGATGGCCGGACAGAGCGCAAGGACAATATCTACTGAAGGCTTGGATGCCATTCTGGTCAACTTCCTGCTGCTGGGCATCGGAAGGTTTTGCGAGTGAAACCTTGGGCTTCGGGGCCGGTCCAGGATCGCTTTTCTCTGTTAAGCTATGGACCGTTAGCTGTTGTGTCTCTCGCGCTCGATAGAATAGGAGGTGCAAGTCATCGGAGTAACAGACAACGCCGAACAAAACCACTTCTTGGAATCTACAAAGACAAAGGGCTCCAATACAAAAGGCTCCAAGACAAAGGTTCCAAGACAAAGGTTCCAAGACAAAGGGCTCCTGGTTTGCTCCCGGGGGTGCCCAGGACAGAGAGCTTTTGCTGAATTGTCTGGTATTCTTGCATCCCACTGCAGAAGAGAAAGCACTTACCGAAACGCATGATAGAGATTGTACTCATCAATCTGAGATTCTGTGGCACGCTTCTTCCTCCTCGGATCTTCGGCTTCTCTCTCGGACTCGGTCTCTTTCTTGCCCGTTGCATCGTGGTGTGAGGATCCTCCACCGGATATCTGGGCCTTTTGCGCACCTTTGGCCTTCTTCTTTCTGTCATTCTTGTCCACCAGCTCATGGCCAGCTTGGTCGTCACCTAATGTCTGGGCAATATCTGGATCTTGGAGATCCGTTTCGGCCGGCGAGCCAGGGGCGTGTTCTGTTGTATTCGAGGCTTGATGCGATACATCTTCTTGGCCGTCTTCTGCACGAAAGCGCAAGATGGTCCCGTTTCTGCCACGCTGGCGCTTCTCGGTTGCTTGCGGGACGTCCCCAACGACACTCTCTGAGCGACGCTTCTTCCCTATGTCAGTACACACCATCTTGATACTCTGAAAAACATCTTTGCCACCGCAGAAATAGTCCTGAACGAACCCAATATCGATCAGGCGCATGGTGCCGAATTGAAACGGCAATGTAGCGTCCATGGTCAAAGTCAGATTGGATTTATCCTCTTGTAAGCGAGCGTTGCAGAGTTTGTGAGTTTCAAAGTGTTCCATGATTCCAACTGGGCCCGTCATCCACTTCAACGTCCCGTCAGGGCTCATGACCGCATTGTTGTTACAGTAGCGGCAGTGTAGCTCAACCCACTGCCATTGGTCTTGCACTTTGAGACAAGCGATGGTCGGATGGGCTTCAATGTAGTTAAAAGTTCCCTGTGAGACCAAATTGCGCCCTCTGGCAGCGGTAGCTTGAAGCGCCGCGATTGTGCTGGGCTTGACGTAAGGACCAGTGAGGCCGACAACCTGCTGCACAGTTTCCAAGGGGATTCTTTGAAGAGCCCGCTGCTGCCGAGCGGCAGAGTGAGCATTCGAGATTGGCGATATCCGAGGGCTTCCCATTGGTAGCGGCCCTGAAGGAATAGCGAGATATGGACTTGATGGTCTGCTGAGCATTGAACCCGAAACGTTCCCGAGGAAAGGGTTAGAAGTCCTTCTGGCCAAATGGTTGGGAATTCTCTCGACAGTTGGACCGTACGGGCCATATGGACTTGCGATGCCACCGATATTGACGTATGGTGGGTTGGAGTATCCGACATGACTTCCTGGTACTGGCTGAGAGCGGAGGACCTGTTCGGGCAGAACGATTTGAGGAATTTGGTGGACTGGGGGGTACACAAGATTGGGAGACATGCCAATAGGCGTAATGGAAGGAGATGAAAGCGGTGAAGGGCTTGGATGGCCGCGATGAGGGTGTGGAGGATAAATGGGAAGGTTGAAGTCTTGTCCTTGGGCGGAATGACCTGCAGAATTTGCTGCGAGGTGGCTCGCCGAATGCGGTGTTGCTTGTCCCACTGGATGCATGTGTACTTGGCTCGCTGAATGTCTTGTTGCATTATTCGCAGGTTGATTTACTGTTGTACAGCTCATTGTTTGTTCTGCTGCTTGGCCCTCAGAGCTCGACACTGCATTTTTGGCTGAGCTTGATCCTGAGTGATGCTCAGAGGCGGGTGTTGAACGGCGAGACGCGACAGAAAGCGCTCGTTCAAGACGGTCAATCCCTTCCTTTTCATGATATGTAAGCACATTGACCGGCTGAGTCCGTTGAGCTAAGAACGGGAGTCATGCAGTTCTTACAGAGATCTGACGATGAGCAGAGAAAGCTTCTTGTATTTCACCAAGCTGACTTTCATACTCTGCTTGCTTCGCTTCTGAGAGGGCTGAACCGTCTTTGTCGCGTTGAGCTTGGCCCAACTCTGCGAGGCGTTGGTGGAGATGCGTCTTGACTGCTCCTAAGCGCAAGGAAGAGAAGTCACGTTGGAGATTGCCATCTGCCATCGTGCGTCTTGGATGAGAGGCTCGGCTTTCGGTCGACACAGATGGATGAAATGTATCAGAGAGATTGACTTGTGATGAAAGTCAGAGACCAGATGTGAATTGAGAACCTCTCTCCGAGGTGTGTAGGCGGGAAAGGTGGTGATAGTTGGTATACCGTATGTTCGGATTTGGTGGTAACCCGGAAGCTTCCTTTCACTGGCAAAAGCTAGAATATTCGGTCGAGACAAGAACCTCAGCGCAGTTGATAGGTCAGCACCTTACTTCAATTGCTGGAGGAAGTAACATCATCCGAAGTATTCTGTGAAAGGTTCTTCACTTCATTCGTGTATGACCGAGAGGAGTTACAGGTTCTTAAAGAAGAGATGGCTCGCGGCTTCTGGGCCTTAAATTCTGACCGAAGGATGACGATGTCGAGGATCCGGTTCTTGAAAGTCTTACGGCTTCCTAAATGTCAAGCCTTTGGAGCTTCAAGTCAGTCCGGAAGTAGGAGTATGGTGCATAAAGACTGAATGGGGTCTTTCTTTGACATGAGAATCATAACACTTAAAGGACATCCGGTTGCCAGTATCAGTTTTCAAAGAGATGTGGGTAGTTCTGGTTGTTTGCAGCTCCTGGAACAACACAAACTCTTTGGGGAGCGGTTTGGACGTATCAAAAGAGGAAGTCTAGATCGTTCAACATAACGATTATATTATCCTTGGATCTCCAGATTGCAAGAGGCGATTGAGATATGTTGGATACTTACTTTACTAGACACCTAATTTTTTTCTGTTGCGGCCCTACAGAGCATTGTGAGACAATCATACCCTCTATTTTCTGAGGTACTTGGAACAGCTCGAAGAAGTTTGCTGTTTGGAGGTCGATAAGACTTCTGAGGCTGTCATGTGGATCCTCAACGCAGCAAACTTCTTCATGTTTCTTGAAAGGTGTCGACTCGTAAGAGAGCTGACTGAACGTGCTAAAGGATCGATTGCCACGCTGAGCAGCCGTTTGATTAGCCTCAGAGATGTACATTTTCTTCAATGCTAAAGGCAACTTCACAATTGCTGTTAGTGGGAGATTCAACATGAGCCGTACACATATTCCTTCGAAAGAATAAACTCGTGAAGCAGACTGCTTCGACTTGCCTCCAAGAAAGGTGGTCCGCGTATTCCTTGGAACGTTCCGACCCGTAATAGAGTTGCTTGGACGAGCTACAGGATGGACTCCGATGTCGATCAGCCGTCCGATTGGCATAAGAACTCTAAAATCACCTGGTGTGCTTGAAGCAGCCTGATAGTTTTGGTTGGTTGGACAACCCATATTGACAGCCCGGCCTCTGTACAGGATTTATATGGGCCTTAGATTTCTCTTGCTTCGTCCAATTTCAGTCTGGCTTGGGAAAATTAATGTTCGGATATGTGGAATCGTTCGTAGCTGCTATGCGGTATCTTAATGAGCTTTAGACTTCTTTCTGTCCGACGTGGCTAGACCGATTCATGTGGCGGAAGATAATAGACGGTCTTATCCATTCCTAGCCCTCTCCTAGGAGTCTGTGGCAATACGTGAATGAAAGAAATTAGAGTGTTGTTATTGTCACAGGTTGCCACGGCAACTTGCGCGTGTAAGCACGTGAAATGCGTGAGGTGGGTCGTGATCCAGCTTCCCTCACCTAATATAAATATCTCTTGCTGCCCTGCCTCGCTCCCAATTCCACAACAACCAACCT